CAAAAATTGAGATTGCACATCCTGTGACTTTCATGTGAGATACGGTCTTCAATAATTGAATTGGCCTGTTGACCATGAGCTTTGCCTTCAGTCATTTCTCTAATTCTTGAATTCTGAAATGAGATGATAACACAAATTATTCACGAATTTTGATTTAACATGCAATATCATTTTCGGTCTTTAATTTATATAATGTGATCTCTAAACTTTAGATTAATGGATAATATCATTCCTTCATTTTTAATTTATTCAATATGATTTTTGCATTGTGCCCCATTTTTATACAATGCAAATCTAGTTACTCATACCGACCCAACACATAACTGACCCGACCCGATCTATATTGTTAAAAAACCTCATATTTAACTCAATATGGGAAAACTCATACCTAAACTAAGGCAAGAGCGCGGAGCGAGCGAGCGAGCGCGAGATCAAATGAGGGCGAGAAAGAGTGAAGAGAGTTCTGGATGTGGATTGGGTCTAAGTAAGTTGTAAACTTATTTAACACCCATATTATATTGGACTTGATCACTCTAAACCCATGTATAACTAACTCGTATAATAACTCAGCAATCAAATATGGGTTAAAAAAATGGATTTATGATCCATTTTGACATGTCTAGTTACTATGAATCGATCAATGAAAACAAGGGACTTGAGACACAAAACAAATGGTGATACCAAAAGACCCAAAAATGGTAAAAAGAAAAGGTAACGCCCTACTTATAAAAAGATATGCTAAATGTACAGTTCGGCCATTTTCCAATAGCTTTGGACTCGTGTTTCATGCTACATTAACATGGGGAACTTGTCCAGTCTTTTTCTCTGTCGTGTTTTGCCCAGTGGAAGAATATTCTCCAAAATCACTGTCATTTTCTTGATAATGGCTTACACATTTAATATAACGATTTCTACATAAAAACAGAGACGAAATATACCACAAAACAACGTCAGCATTTCCAAAAAAAGAAAAATGAAATTGAAAATAGGTCCTCCTTGTGCATTTCTTGAATTTCATGTGTTTTTTGGGCAACGAATTCGTCATTTTTAATACATGTTGGGATTGTATTTCAGCAATATTATGTTTTTGTGTAGCTAACTTCCATCGAGGTCCTTGTTCTGAAAAAGACTAGCGAGTCTTTGCAAATAAAGGGCCATGCGGATATGTCCACTGCACATGTTTAACGGAAAATGCAACTGACGGTTAATGGCCTTAACAAAATGAAAGCTTATGAGGCAACTTGAAAGTTTAGAGATAATGGGAAGACATTCGGGCAATCTCATATCGTTTCTCTTGTCCACATCTCTACCATCATCAAGTGATTCAACAATCCCACATTACTCATTGAATGAAGTTTTGGATCAGAGGATTCCATATACAACGCACGAGCGCGACCCGTGTTTTTGATGACTATACCATATGAACTTCGGTTGTCTATCAGTGAACTAAAAGCAGACTCGCCCTCAGTTTGGTTTTAGTCCAACCAGACTATGGGAGTGCGGATTCAGTTCTTTGTCAGCCCTATTTCTATTTTGCTTGTTTTCTTACCTATCGATATCTATTTGACACGGTTACGCGACACGCTATTTACAAAGTGGACCAAAGAAAATTGAGTAGATGGTTAAGTCCTCCATTGACGTCAAGTGTCGGTCCACATTTGATAATTTGTCCAGTCTTGTTCCATGCCAGGTTTCACCGAGTGGAGGAATTTTTCTTCAAAATCATATCATTTCAAGTGGGATGTGTGAAAGAAAAAGTGGGATGTGAACTTTTGTGTCACTTTCTCTTGCATCACATCTTTCGTGGCTGACAGAAATTTCCTTGACCATGCTAACTGCCAACCAAAATACAATTTTCACCCAAAAATATGAAATGGTAATCATCTCATGATCGGGTAAGATCTACCCAATTGCGCCTATAACACCTCACGCCAAGATTTTTTGTTTTTTCTTGATGATGGCTGATAACGATCTCTAGATAAAACCTAAGAGAAAATATAGCTCAGAAGACTCACAAGTATTTCTGGAAAAGAAAAAAAATAGAAACTAGGACTTCGTTGTGCATTTATTAAAGCAGGTTGGGATTATATTGATTAAATTTTCACTTTGTTGACTTCCATCCCAGTCTTTGCTCTCCGAAAGACTAATAAGTCTTTGCAAATAAAGGGCCACACATATTAAATATACAATGAAAATATAAAGGAAAATATAACGGCCGTGACAAAATAAGAGTTCATGAAGCAATTGCATAATATTGAAAGTTTAGAGATAAACGTGTACTACCTCTCAAAATTCAAGAGTTTTGCGTAATTTATCCCTAAAAAGAAATTTGGAATTTTCTCGCATTCACCGGGAAGAAGTGATTATTGACTTGGCTGTGTGTTGACTTGGTTGTTTGTTGACTTGACAGTCCCAATTTCTTCTATAAATACTTTGGTTGTACTTGGTACATTTCAACACATATCTTCTACATCCAACAAATCAATCAGCAGAATAGCGAGGTCCCTAGCAGTGAATTCTTTATCGAGTTTGTACTTATATTTATAGAATCTATCGAGCAAATTTCAAATTCATATTTTAGAATAATGTCATCCTCGTATGTGATGAAGATACTTTACCACGAATCGATCAATGTAAACAAGGGAGCCAGGGATGCAAAACAAATTTTGATGCCAGAAGACCCAAAAGTCGAACAAAAAGGAAGAAAAGGTAACTCCCTACTTATGAAAAATCAAGTCAAGTCATATGTACTGTTTGACCATTTTTAGCATTGGACTCGTGTTTCATGCTATACGGTGAAACACGGCATCGAAGAAGATTGGACAAATTCACCTGCTTTTTAGCTTATGTACATGGGAAACACGACACTCACAGAATATGTACTTGTTTCACCATTTTCCGGGATCATGTCCATTTCTAGCTCATGTACATGGGAAGCACGACGCACACAGAATATGTACATGGGGAATTTGTCCAATCTTCTTCGATGCCGTGTTTCACCTTGAGTGGAGGAATCTTCTCCAAAATCATGTTTATCTTTACCTTTGTACAATCACCAACAAGGACATGTGCACGGCATCGATGCCGTTTTTCACCAGAGTGGAGGACTCGTGTTTCATGCAAGATTGATATTTCATAAAAATGGGCAACTAATTACGCCCAAAAGAATATGAAAAATAAAAATAAAAGGGCCAAAAATGGTAAACGACAGTGAGATCTAACACGTTATAGGTTGGGAGCGGTTAGCATGACCGTTCTCTGCAAAATGAGATTGTGACAGTCAAAGGCCAGCCACAAGTTTTTTTTTAGGAAACCGGATTCAATTTTTGACTTTATATTTCCTTTCTTTCTTTCTTGTTTTACTTCTGTGTTTCCTTATTGCAAGCTCAAATTGAGAGACAAATCATAAGAGGATCCACATAATCAATTTTCCTGAATATGAAGAAAGAAAAAATAAATTAGATTCCGAAATATAACTAATTACAAGTAGAAAAACATTATCACTTACTAAAAAGAAATCATTAATGTCATTATATAGATCTATTAAATTTAAAAGACAAAAAAACACTTGAAACGTTGGTTTTGCAACTAATAATGAAATCATTGTGCAATAAAGTGACTTTTCATTTCTTTCGCTCAAATAAAATTCCTCTAGAAGGACTCTCCAGTGACCTAAAATTAAGACAAGTGATATCGATTATGCATAAAACGAATAAAGTAAAGAAAACATCAAAATAAGAATCAAACTCCGTACCTATGCAAGGTGCGAATTTCATGTTCTCTAGTGTCATGATGCTTTCATCACTAGCATCTTTGGTCACATTGTTCATCTTGTCTTCATCACCACCATTATTTTCATTAGTGAAGTTGCTTTCAATACAAACTCTATCCATCTGAATGAGATTAGAAGAAAAAATTAAACATTATACGTCTAAAATATATAGATACATACTAAAATTCGACGACAATGAATGCCTCTTACTTTCTTGCAATCAAAGAAGCAGAGATTAACGAGCCTTTCTCCACAGTTATGACTTATTCGATTACAAAATCCAACAATAATTGAAAGTTCAAAGTATACAAGACAATTACATTCCTATTTTTTGAGTCATTAAGTTCTTTTTTATTTGGGAACAATGTCTACATAATCTTTTTCTTTGGCCGAATAATAATATCAACTATTTTAAAGTTGCAACTGAGTTCTTCATATATTTCATTTTGTTTGAATATTAGCACTTTGATTTGTTTCTTTAAATAAGACAAGAAAATCATTCTCTTCTTATAGTTTTTTTATATGGAAAATGCATTTTTTTTAGTCTCTCATTTTTTAAGATGGAAAATGAGTAGCTGAGGTTTGACTGTCCGTTTTCTAAGCTAACGGCACGGTTATGCAAGCATTTTCCTTATGTGTTATGCTACGTGAAGTCACTGAAGGCTAGAAAAGAAAGATAACATGGGTCCAAAAGAGAGATAGCGGATATACGATTTTATCACTTTGAATTGGCGTGTTGACTATGACCTTTGTCTTCAAGATCATATTATTCATACAAGGGTATATACGAATTTTATAGTTGATAATTTTACCAAGATTTTTCTGATAGAGTAAAACGAAATTATACCAAATAATCATTGGACATGTCACTTTTGTGCTTGAGACTCATTTTAATTTGAGCTAGTGTGTAATAAAATAAAATAAAAGAGTCAGCTTCGTACTCTGCGTAATTAAGAAAAATGCAAGCCAATTATCTAATGTCATTGACAAGGGACGTTTATCTTCAACTTTTTGTAACACAAGTGCCACGGTAACTTTATTATCTCATATATATAGTGTTGCACCAACGAATTGCCTCGGAAGATATAATGGAGGGATAATGCCCGTAACAAAATAAAAGTTGACAAGATAATTGACTTAGTTGTTGACTTGATGGTCCCAATTTCTTCTATAAATACATCGGTTGTACCTGGTCCATTTCAACACATATGCGCCTACAAAAGAAGAAAGCTCAACCAAAAATAACCTAAAAAGCTGTCATGGCCTACGAGAAAGAACGACTCTCAATGTTGTTCCTCGCTCATGTCCTTCTCATGCTCGTGCAAGAAATGTCTGGTCTTGCTTCAGCACGAACCTCTTCCAAAATGGAAGTGGAGGCACTCCTAAAATGGAAGTCTAAGCTAGACAGTGAGAGCCGCTCTACTTTGTCATCGTGGAATGGAAGCAACCCTTGTTCATGGCACGGAATCCTTTGTGATCCCTTCGGGAGTGTCACCAGCTTGAACCTTTCGCATTCTGCCATATACGGTACACTTCACCATCTCAATTTCTCCCATTTAACCAACTTGGTCAATCTTCGGCTTGGCAACAACCGGCTCTTCGGGAACATCCCTCCAAGCATTGGTGATCTTTCCAAGCTCACTCTTCTTGACTTCTCTTTTAATAACCTTTCGGGAAACATTCCAACTCAACTCGGGTCATTGCGATCTTTACAAGTGCTCAACCTTTGGAAGAATAAATTATCCGGTCCAATTCCTACTTCCATTGGAAACATGAGCAGCTTGTCATGGATGACAATTAGCGAAAATCCGCTTGTTGGGCCCATTCCAAAGGAAATAGGTATGTTGGGGTCTTTATATCACCTCAATTTTGCAAACAATTATCTCAATGGATCCATTCCTACAACTCTAGGAAATCTGAGTACTTTGAAATTTCTTTACCTCTTTGGCAACCAACTTTTTGGCCCCATACCTTCAGAAGTTGGAAAAATGAGATCCCTTACAATGTTGCAACTACTAGCCAATGATTTAACGGGTCCTATCCCGTCATCCATAGGCAACTTGACTAATCTATCTGACCTCCGCCTTTTCAACAATAAGTTGTCGGGTCCTATACCGTCCTCCATAGGTGACTTGGGCAATCTGACTGTTCTTGCCCTTTACCAAAATGAGTTGTCAGGTTCTATTCCGAAAGAGATCGGAAAACTAGGACTCCTCAGTGAACTAAGTTTATTTACGAATAAGTTGTCGGGTCCTATACCGTCCTCCATAGGTGACATGGGCAATCTGAGTGTTCTTGCCCTTAATGAAAATGAGTTGTCAGGCTCTATTCCGAAAGAGATTGGAAAACTAGGACTCCTCAGTGACCTAAGTCTATTTACGAATAATCTGGAGGGCTTTCTTCCCACCGAGATTAATAACCTCACATTCCTCAAAAAACTACAGCTATCTGAAAACAACTTTGTCGGCCAATTGCCAAAAGATATTTGCGGTGGTCGAGTTCTTCAATATTTTGCCGCGAATGACAATCACTTCACTGGTCCAATTCCGCGAGGTCTCAAAAACTGCACGAGTTTGTATAGAGTTAGGCTCCAAAACAACCAGCTCAAGGGAAATATATCCGAGGATCTCGGCACATACCCTGACTTAGATTATCTTGAGTTGAGCAACAATGAACTATACGGTGAGCTACCACCTAGACTTGGTGAATATAGCAATTTGACCAGCCTGAAAATCTCCAACACTCGCATCTCTGGCATCATGCCCTTTGAGCTTGGCAAATTGAGCAGATTACATATACTTGACCTCTCTTCAAATAGTCTTGTTAAGGAAATTCCAGAAGACCTGGGAAAACTGAAGTCACTTCTAGAGCTTTCTCTCTATGACAATCATCTTGTAGGCTACATACCTCAAGAATTTGGAACATTGCCCGATCTAGCAAGAATTAACCTTGCCGGAAATAACCTAAGTGGCTCAATTCCTAGACAACTTGGGGAGTGTTCGAAGCTTCAAATATTGAATTTTAGTAGAAACAATCTTGATAGAAGCATTCCCGTTGAGATCAGCAAGCTTCAATCTCTTGAAGTTCTCGATTTGAGTCAAAATTTGCTTACCGAAGAAATTCCTGGACAACTTGGGCTACTGCAAAGATTGGAAACACTCAATCTCTCCCACAATCAGCTCTCGGGTTCAATTGTGTCGACCTTTAAGGATATGGCAAGCTTGACTTCCATCGACATATCATACAATGAGTTAGAGGGTCCTTTACCAAATATTCTAGCCTTTCATAATGCTACAATCGAAGTTGTGAGAGGGAACAAAGGCTTGTGTGGAGTTATTGCTGGTCTCAATCCTTGTACAGCAACAATGTCCACAGGCGGAAACAAAATTAAAAAGTTGCTGCTAATTTTGATTCCTACTTTAGGATGCCTACTTTCTTTGTTTCTTATTGCGGGAGCTTCAAGTGTTGTATGCCGAAGAGTAAGAAAAACAGAGGCTAGTTTGATCGATGAAAGCAATGAAAACCCATGGGTAATATGGAGCTTTGATGGAAGAATGATTTATGAGAGCATTATTGAAGCCACAGAAGAGTTTGATGCCAAATATTGCATCGTTGTGGGAGGACATGGGAGTGTTTACAAGGCCCAATTGAAAACAGGTGAGACTATTGCTATAAAGAAACTTAAGGAAGCAGTGGACGTGGAAATGGCCAGCCGAAAAGCATTTGAAAGGGAGATTCATGCTCTGACTCAAGCTCGGCATCGGAATATCATCAAGCTCTATGGCTTTTGCTCGAGTTCTCGACATTCATTTTTAGTGTACGAGTTCTTGGAATTTGGCAGCTTGAAGGATGTACTGAACAATGAAGAGAGGATAACAATATTTGACTGGAAGAAGAGAGTGAATGTTGTTAAAGGTGTGGCTTATGCTTTGTCCTACATGCACCATGAATGCTCTCCTCCTATAATTCATCGAGACATATCAAGCAAGAATATTTTATTGGATGAAGAATACGAAGCTCACGTCTCTGATTTTGGCACGGCTAAGGTTCTTGAACCTTATTCATCTAATAGGACTCCCTTTGCAGGCACCATTGGATATGCAGCACCAGGTTAGTTGGTTTCTTCACAATGTCACCCCACTCAATTTTGTAGATAAGAAAATGCGTAAACTTCTAAATTCCTAACGAAAAATCCAAAGCTATTCATATGACTTCAAGTTTCCATAGTAGATTAATTGACATTTATGCCCCCAATTGATGAAGTGAAACTTTTTTTGAAGAAATAATGAAAATTTTAAAATCCCATTTTTTTGTCAACTTTTAAATCCCATCGAAATCTAAAGAATGTATTAATTTATACGTAACTCTCTAAATTTTATTTCCTCAAAATCAATTTAGATTTATGAAGCATGATTATTGTATAAAAGCTAGAATTTTTTTTTGCTCTTTTCTCAATGTAGAACTTGCATACACAATGGAAGTGAACGAGAAATGCGATGTTTATAGCTTCGGGGTGGTGACATTGGAACTAATCATGGGAAGTCATCCAGGCGATCTCGTATTGTCTCTTGTGTCCTCTTCTTCATCATCCTCACACCATTCAATAGCTTCTTGGCCATTGAAAGAAGTTTTAGATCAAAGACTTCCATGCCCGGAAGGTAATGTGCTAGGAGAAGTGGCTTTGGTGACAAAGATGGCATTTTCGTGCATAAGTCCTAGACCAGAGCATCGTCCAAGCATGCAACAAGTTTCTCGAGTGATAACAGCACATAGCTCCATCGTGATAAGCACATCGGAGGACATCAAATTGGAAGAACTAGTTGATCCTACATGTTTCATTTGTTGAATATTTTTGTCTTCCTGTTGCAGCCCTGTGTAGCAAGCTGGCTCCTGTACTTTGTTTTAGATTTGTCAATTTCATTATCTATTTTTGCAATGGTCCATTAATTGCTCGTAAACACTCAGGAGTTACTGCCACTTACAATTTCAATCCTGAAGAAATGGACTACAGCTCCGGCATTCACGCCTTAAGAATGCCTTAGAAAGATAACAAGATCATGATATGTGAAGTTCCGTCGAATTATTTTAGTTGAATGCGTACCGACATCATGAATTTAGAAAAAAAATGAAATGTAGATCATAGTATGATTTGTTAAGATGAAATTATGTAAGTAACTTTGCATCCTTTGAAAAGAGAGAGCATATTTTAGTAAGGATTATTTTTAGAGAATAGTGCATTGAAATTCCTAAAATTATCATGAAAATGCAATTGAATCTTAAAACTTTTAACAAGTATAATCAAATCATAAAACTTGTCAAATTGATACAATCGACTCCCTTCGTTAGCTCCATCTACTTTGCCCAACGGAAGATGCTCACATGTGATCTTTTGTAATTTTTTAATACATGTGGCGCCAATGTGGCACACTAGGGGCCATACAGGAAAATAAAACCTGAAAAATTAAGAGAATTAAATAAAAAATTGATAAAAAAGTTAAAAGAACAAAGAAAATAGAAAAATTTTAAATAAAACAGCCAAAGATTTAAAGGAAAAGAAAAAAAAAAAAAAAGAAAAGAAAAGAAGGTGCAAACCAAGGGGTTGAGTTGGGGGGCCAAGGGCACCTGCCCTTGCCCGACCTTTGCCGAGGAAGTTGGAGGTGACGCATCGCCCTCGAAGCCCCCCTTCGGCAGAGTGTGTTTTTCTTTTATTTTCATTTCAGCCTTTTTTAATTTATTTTTATTTTCAGCTTGAAAAATGAATGAATATGGAAAAATAAATTTAAAAAAAATGAGACCCTCGTATTATTTAAAATTACTATTTTACCAGTGACTGTCATACTATTTCTCGATCCTATATTAGAGATTTGGACTTACTTGAAAGATTGCATTATTAGTTATATTTAATGATGAACGTATGGGCGGGCAAGATTTCGAAGCCCTTGCGCGCAACCGGCCCGCCCAAAAATCGGGCTTGAAAATTTTGTCCAAATTCGCCCAACGGGCCTGGACGGGCCCGCCTGCCGCATGCTGTCTCTCTCTTGTTACTCCGCGTCCCTCGGGCTTCCATTTCGAGAAAGTGGATGCAGTAATTGCAACGACACGTGGCGGTCGTACAGTACCTTCTCCTTAGTGCTTTCCAAGTTACGTTGCGCTCACACTCTCTCTCTCCTTGAAGGCGGAGGCCAACTTTTTCTTTTTGTCTCCTCCTTCCTCTCTCGTTTTCGCTTCGATGCAAACACCCCGACCGATCTTCTATTCCCTCAACAATGTCGACTCTCACAGTCCCGGAGCCAGTGACCTCCATGGCCGATGACTACAAGCAACTCCGGAAAGCATTCGCAGGTTTGCTATCTCCTCAACGCCTTTCTTTCTTCTTGGTGCTCCCTCCTCCGACTCCAGCCAGCTTGATGTTTGATGATCACGTATTGTTTGGTCGTCAACGATCCTGTTTTTAGTGTTTGGATCTATGCTCTACTTCGAGATCGTGATCTGATCGGAATGATCTTTCGGTTGCGATCTGTTCTAGAGTTCTTGTGCTTTTTTTGAGTGATCGGCTGTTAACATCGAGCTATTTCTGGATCCAGGAGTGATTTAGAGATGCAAAATAAATTCGACCATTATGATTTCCTTCTGAATTCAATCTGATCCTTCCATTGTTTCTCGGCTTTTTGTCTTGATGCTTCGGCGATCACTATTCCTATTAGAAACCGAAATGAAATGAAAGATATAAGATTCTTTTGTACAGAGGATGTTTCCTGTAGCTGCAGTATATTGTTCGCTTGTACAAGTAAAGAAATTGTTTTCACCCTGAGCCCGGGATACGGTGTGGTCTCCAAAAAAAAAGTGAAACTTATTGTCTAATTTAATCTTTTCTCGTTTGATGATTCTCTTGAAGGATGGAGAACAAATGAGAAGTTGATCATATCCATATTGACTCATAGGAATGCGTCACAGAGGAAGCAAACCTATGCCAAGACTTATGGCGAGAACCTCCTCAAGGCATTGGACAAAGAACTTATGCTTATTTCAAGGTCTGGTCTTCTTTAATTATTTGAAGGGAAAATTCCATATAAGGACCTAAAGTGCCTTCATTTTCTCAAAAAAAAGTGCTTGAAGTGGAACTTGTTTCAAATAAGGGCCTAAAATGCCATCATTTTCTCAAATAAAAGCCTAAAATGAATCTTGTTTCTTACTGTTATGATGGAGATGAGGTGAACATGACTTTGGTAAAAGCAGAGGCTAAGATACCCCACGAGAATAGGCTTACGGCCATGAGGATCTCACAAGGATGTTAGCCACTAGAGCAAAGCACATGTCAATGCTACACTTAATCACCACAAAAATGTGTTTGGAAAAGATATCAACAAAGTGAGTTTGAATGTGACTATTCATGCTTTTACCTATATGACTAAAGTTTACAGTACCTTGAGGATGAAAAGTGCTAGTGGATATTGTTCTTTTTATGAGCTTTTGCTCACAGTCATGTTGTCGCTAAAAGTAAGAGGCAACTTAACGATGTCTTGTTTCTAAAATATTGAGACCTAATAATATCACTCATTTTGGTGATACTCATTACCTTGCATTGTGCTCTGTTCTGACATGGGTCATTTCCATACTATAACCTTAGGTAGTATGTATGCATCCGATTGCATTGAGTTTCTCTCTGCTCTAGACTAATAATTATCCAAATTCTTGATCCTTCATGTTCACACGATTTGAAAACTGATTCAAAACGAGTTCCTTCCTACACTGAGAGCTATAGTCAGTGCTTGACTCGCCTGGAGAAGAATTTTGAAAAAATTCTTCATTTGGCCATCAATAGGCGAGGAACAAATGAAGGGGCCTTGACAAGACTGGTTGCTAGTAGGGCCAAGGTCGACATGAAGTTCATAAATGAGGTGTACTAAGAAGGAACAGCTTCACCCTCATCGCGCCATTGTCAAGGACACCGCCGGAGACTATGAAAAACTGCTTCTGGCAGTGGTTGGCTATGTAGACGCATAATTTACAAATACTCATGAAGCTGTGTCCGGTAGAGGCAATATGTCTATTCAAAGTTAATGGACACCCATTTAGACGTAAACATGGGTCTACGAATTGACTTGCAGCCATCCATTGGGACGCTTGATGTAGTCAAAGCCTGTACTCAGGTGACTCAAGTGCGCGCAATAATAAGACGGGACGGGTAATCTCTCTCCATCCAAGTCATGCGAGTCAAAAGCATTTGAGCCATCAAATCATGTGAATTCCATAGAATCCGACGCTTCACATGCATTTTATAAATAGAGTGCATGCAATATTGAGCAGGGACTAGTCCTAGGGAAAGATCTTAACTTCCAGGTCCAAAAGATAAAGCAGTAATCCATGTATTTATGGTGAAATCTCTATCACGCTAAGGAATTCTCATTTTACAATGACATTATGTCAGATATCCCTATGTGGGTAAAGCTCCCACATCATTGGAGAAAATTTTCCAAAAAGTCCTAAAACTATTGTACGGCGGCCAATTTAGTCTTAAATCTTTCAATTTTGCCAATTCAATCATAAACCTTTTAAAAAGTTATCAATTCAGTCATAAACCTTTTAATCGTGCCAATTTAGTCCTAACCGTATTGACTATTTATCAATTTAGTCATAAAACCTTTTAACGAATTGTTAATTCAGTCCTTCCGGCTAATTTTGGCCGGAAATCGCTAACGTGGCGGTCTAGTCGGCGCCAGCGGGCTGTCCTACGTGGCGCTGACGTGGATAATTTTCTATTTTAAAAAAAAATTCAAATTTTTTATTGATTTTTATTGATTATTTTACTTTTGTTCTTTTCTTTTCTTTCTTTTTCCCCTTTCTTCTTTTTTTTTTTCCTTTCTTCTTCTTTGTTGAGCTCCCCAGTTGAGAGCCGGCGGAGGTGGCCAGCCACTAGGCAAGGGCCGGTGACCCCTGCAGGCCCGGGGGCGAGAGCCACGAAGCCCTCACTGGCCGTCGCTGTGGCCGGCGAGGGCTACGACTCCTTCGCCAGATCTAGTGAGGCGAAGGCGTCGCGACCCTCGCCCAGGCCGTCACTGGCCACAGTGAGGCGAGTGACGGCTCGCGACACCCTCGCCGGCTGCAGCGAGGGCGGGCGAGGGCTCGCGACGCCCTCGCCGACAGCAGGGAGGGCTCGTGAGCCGTCGCCCAGATCTGGCCAGGGCCACGACGCCCTCGCCCACGGCCCGGCGGGGGTCGCTGGCCGTCGCCTAGGGGCCAGCGAGGCTCACCAACTGTTGCCCAGTGGCCTGCCACGTCTGCCAGCCCTCGATCGCCGGCTCAACAAAGAAGAAAGGGGAAAAAAAGAATAAAAATAAAATAATCAATAAAAAAATTTTAATTTTTTTTAAAAAAATATAAAATTATCCATGTTAACGCCACATAGGACGGCTGGCACCGAGTGGACCGCCACGTCAGTGATTTACTAGCAAAATTAGTCGGAAGGACTAAATTAGCAATTCGTTAAAAGGTTTATGATTAAATTGACAAATAGTCAATATGTTTATGACTAAATTGGCATGATTAAAAGGTTTAAGACTGAATTAGCAATTTTTTAAAAGATTTAGGATTGAATTGGCCGTCATATAATAGCTTTAGGACTTTTTGGATAATTTTCCCCATATCGTTGTGCTACGTGACACGTTCATGTGTGAGTACCTCGTAATTTTCTTTTTGATTGTGACGTTAGAAAATATCTAATCCGAACAAATCTCTAAATCTTATGCACTTTTATAATAATTTTTTAATCGGTTCTTATGCATATTTTGTTATAATGCTTTTAATCGCGACTTCAACAAATCTATAATCCAAGCAAATCACTAATTCTTATGCATATTTTGGTATCAAATCTATAATCGATATACAAGAAATAATAGAACTAATTATATATTGGTGATAAATCTTCAAAAATAACTATTTATGGAGATATTCTAATATAAAATACCTGTATATTGTATATTTAAAAAGGCTCATGCTAATTCGATACCTAATTTGAAAAACACAAGTTCGGCGACTGAAATGTCTAATATGTACTTATGACCTTTTCTGTGGTTATGACAATTTGCTTCTCCAGTGTCTCTTCTAGTAATTATCTTTTATCAAAATGTCTCTTTCCCCCCATCGGCATCCTAAAAGACTTTCGGTGCGAATTGGCTATATTATGTCTAATCCGGAAGGATTACCTGTTTATGGTGGCCGGGCTAGGTGGGATGATCCCAGTTATCCCTTACATTGATGACCTTAGATTTATCTCAGTTTGATGATCGAGTCACCAGAGTGCACCACGTTTAGGTTGACCTAGATGTAAGGGTGTGGTGGCTTAGTGGCTGTCAGAGAGAGAGAGAGAGAGAGAGAGGGGCGATGGTCAACATGGTGATGGGCTCTGCAACAACGATGAGCATTGGAGCCTGCAGAGGAAGCGACTTCGTGGTTATAATGGGGCAACAACGTGGTGGAGACATGCATAGGCGAGGGAGACAGAGATTGAGGGAAGAGGATGTGGAGGCCGGTAGGTTAGCCCTTGTTTCAGTTGGATTTTCTTTGTATGTTTATTGAAGTTAAGTTTAATTAGAGATTAGATATATGTATGCAACACCGACCGGAGATTTTTTTTTTTTTTGGTCGAACACCGACCGGAGATTGACCAAAGAGAATTTCCTCTTCATTAGAGATTGAGAATAAAAGAGCACTAAATCTGAATTCCTTATTTTTAACTAAATTGAATAGATAGCATTGTTATTTGAATTTTTTCCTACCATTGACGTCAACTTGCAAATGTATGAGAATCAGTCTAAATCTTTGATGTGCCATGTTTCACGAGCGGAAAGAGTTTTCTCTAGGTTACATTATTCAACATCACCCACTTGCGCATGGCCGAGTTGGTGGGCGCTTTCCTTCCCTCCTCAGAGGTTCTAGGTTCGAATACCCGCTCGGTTCCGTAATTTAAGTGGGGGGCCCTGGCGTTGGGTTGCTGGGCTAGTCTCCTCCGAGGTATAGGCGCCCCGATTACCCGTGCGGGCTCGACCCTAGGGAATGGTGGCGGATCCTCGGTTACCAAAAAAAAAAAAGTAAACCTTATCGACGGAATATAGCTCCAAACATCAAGGAGTTATCCACAATAAAGAAAGATCTAAACTAGGACTTTCTCGTTGTTTTTCTAGAAGTTCATCAAGCAATAGTGCTTTTTTCTGGGCGAAGTAGTTACATTAGTTTAGTTTTCTCCGCTCTGTTGACCATTATTACACCCCAGTCTATTTCTCCAAAATGACCAATAAGTCTTTGGAAATTAATAAAAGAGGGAAGTGTAAAAAAAGTCCTAAAATTATTGCATTAGTATCAATTTAATCTTAAACATTTTAATTGTACCAATTTAGTCCTAAACTTTATGACTTAGTGTCAATTCAATCATCCTGGCTAATTTTGGCCAGATATTGCTGACATGGAAGCTAACGGTCTATGTGGCACCGCCAACGCTGACGTGGACAACTTTTAATAATATTTTTTTCGAATTTATTTATTCTTTCATTCTTTTTTTCATTTTTTCTTTCTTCTTCCTTCTATCAATAATCGGCTACTGACCACAGGCAATGGCCAGCCACCAACCATGGCTGGGTGGGCTGGCCTCACCTAGGCAAGAGTTGTCGTCGCTCGCCACAGGCGAGACCTAGCCTGCCCCGGCCAGGCGAGGGCTAGCCCCGACGAGGGTCAGCCTCACCCTCACCCAGGTCAAGGCGGCCTTGCCAAGTGTCGCTATCGCCCAAGTGATGCCCAGTGAGGCTAGCCCGTCCGTCCATGGCCGATGGCCAATCACCAGCCAAAGGAAGAAGAAAGGGAAAAAGAAAGAAATAAAAAATTTAAAAATTCATAAGAATTTAAAAAAATAAAAAAATTAAATATTTTTAAAATTGTCCACGTTAGCACCGGTGGTGCCATGTAGGCTGGCCAGCATCCACGTCAGCAATATCCCGCAAAAATTAACCGGAATAACTAAATTAGTACAAAGCCAAAAGGTTTAGGACTAAATTTACACCAATAAACGATTTAAGACTAAATTGGCATCAATGCCATAGATTTATGACTTTTTTAAGACTTTTTCCTAATAAAACAAGTTGTGATGTGAGTTATGTGGACCAATAAATATATTTTTCTTAGTTAATCATTGTTAATCGATAAGTCCATTCACATATTCAAAACGAGAGGGTAGGTAGACTTGATGGAACAATTCCATATATTCACCCGTTACCTTTCAATTCCCACTTGAAAGTCCAATGGTCCTGCTGCCAATCCCGCAACCATGAAAATAATATAAATTTGAAATTTTGCCACGTTAGGTCGAGATAATTGATAAGCAAGGTACTGACTATTTATAGGTGTGAGTGTCATTTTATATATCACCTAACATGGTTTCTTCCCGTCCTATTCGAAAGGAAATTGTCCAATTAGTCCTAAACTAATTTCACGGATGCCAATTTCATCATAAACTTTTCAATTTTGCCAATTTAGTCTTAAACATTTGTGCGAAATTTCAATGTAGTTATTCCGATCAATTTTCGCTTAAAATCGTTGATGTAGTGGTGTGCCACGTAGAACGACTAGCGATGACTAGACCATTACTGCAGTGATTTTCGGCAAAAATTGACTAGAATGATTACATTGGAATTTCAACCAAAGGTTTCATGACTATATTGGTAAAATTGAAAAGTTTAGGATCGTATTGATATCCATGCAATAAATTCAAGATAGATTGGATAATTTTCTCCGACGTAGGGCATTGGGACATTCCTTTTTCAGAGGAATTGAAGACTTTCGCAATGGGGAAGGAATACCAACAATATTATTGACTTGGTTGTTGGCTCCATGGTCCCGATTTTCATCTATAAATACATCTCGTTTGTACGTGGTCCATTTAAACACATAAGCGCCTAAAAGCAAAGAAAAGCCTACCCTAAATAACCTGAACAACCTGTCATGGCCTCCTCTCCAAAACAACCCTCTAATCGAATTTTTATTTCTTTTCTAAGAGTTTAATCTACCTAAACCTAAACTAAACCGAAGATATCCATTAAAATCCCTAAACTATATGCATACTAACTAAATGAAACTAAACTGAATCGATTACTAAGATCTAACACCTAATCAAGACCTATTTTTCTAAC